ACGGACTTCTGGAGGATATTAAACATCCCATGTTACAGTGGGCATATGAACCAACAGTTAAGAACCAAAATAACTCAGATGCACAGTATTTGTTTCTCCTAAACTGGTAATGTTGGGTTGAAGAATTAGTTTGGAAATAAACACTATGAAAAAGAAAGTGATTCCCATCAAAACCAGTTTTTGTTTTGGGTTCTGGAATACACCAGTAGAAGGAGTGGGGGGCTGAAAGGATTGAGAAGTGTGCTTTCTTGGCACATGGCCTTACGGCTAAACCCTGTCAAGCCAGACCCAGCCATGTTGCCTGGAGAACCAATGGTCACTGATGCAGATGCAATGATCATCTGGCTCAGAATGGACCTGAGCTATGTAACATCTCTAGGTGGCCAGTCCACTGTAAGTATGCTCTGCAGCATCCAAGTGTTCAAACATGGGCAAAATGAGCCACATCAAGTGGTGCTCCACTTATAGGTAGCTTAGAGGTGGTTGAAATTTGAAGACTATGTTACTTACTAGACTCACTTCTGCTATGTAACGTTTGTTTACCACATCACAGCCTGTGGCAAGTATCCATAGCAAAGTTCAGACAAGTCTTAAAAAACAAAATAACCAACAACAGAAAACAAATCTTATATTTCAATGGTCTGGTATAAAATTTAGCTGATAATACAACTATATCCTTGCTCAGTAGACAAACAAAAGCAAATATATTATCAACTTGTTCTTCACCCTTTTAAAGAGATATTTTTAAAAAATTTAAAAATCTAAATATATTTAAATATTTATAAATATATTTTAAAAATATATTTTATTATGGTAGTATGTTTGCATTAAATGATTACATTCCTTGTGGAGAGCTGTAATGTACTTAACACATCTGTTCTTTTCTCATTCCGTCCCGTTTCTCTTGGTCCCTTTTTTATTTGCAAAAGATTTTCTATTTCTCTTTTATTTTGCTCCTTATATTTTGGATTTCTCATACAAGAGAAATCACTTAAGGTTGTGTCTGATTTATTTTACTTAACATTGATGGTCTCCATTTTCCTACAGGTAACAAGTTTATTCTTGCTCATGGCAGAGTAACACAGTACTCCATTGTGTCTAAATACCACGTTCTTTATCCATTCAGCTACTGACGGGCAATGGGCTGCTTCCAAGATTTATCTTTTATAAATTTTGCTATTATAAACATGACTATGCGTGTGTCATTGTAATATGCTGTCTTTTAACTCTTTCAGCAAGATACCTAGAAAACAGCTAGATCAAATGCAATTTCTAGTTTTGGATTTTTGAGGAATCTTCATCCCGATTTCCATAATGGTTCTATTTGTTTACATTCTCACCAACACTGTAGAAAGGTCAACTCCCCTTCTCACCAGCATGTACCTGATTTCTTGATAGCTATTCTCTCTGGAGTAAGATGGTATTTGTTTTTTCTACATTTGCATTTCTCTAATGGACAGAGATGTTTAACGTTTTTAATGTACCAAATGGCCATTTTTACTTCTTCTGAGAGGTGTCTATTCATTTTAGTGGGCCTTTTTTTTTCCCCCCCTAGGGGGTGGTACCAGGGATCGAACTTGATACCTTGTGCTTGCAAGGAAGGCAGCAGAACCACTGAGCTAAATCCCTGGCCTTAGCGGCCCATGTTTTGACTGATCTTTTATGTTGAAGAGGTTTACCATTTTTGGAGTTCTTTTTATAGATTGTAGATATTAGTTCTCTATCCAAGAAATAGCTGACAACTTTTCCCCACCCTCACAATACAATCTTCAAAAAATATGAATGTGCTTACAAACACAAATCCTGTTCTGTTTCTTTAACTTTTTACCCCAGTTAAAGAAAAAATAAAGCATTATTAAGACTACAGAAGTTTTTAAGGGCCAAATTATACTTGCTTCACAACCATTTATTTGGGACAAGTTCAGTTTTGCTTCCCTGTGGTCAACCTGACAATGTATTTTCCTTTCACTTACTGGCTTTTAGCACCACAAATTCTACACATAACTTTCATTTTCCTCATCTTTCCAAGTTAGTTTGAAGTATATGCAACCAAATTAGAATCTCTCTTCTCTCACCCATAAAACAACTAAGTTGGATTTAAAGTGTTCTGTTTGTCTTTATGTTCTTGAAAGAACTTCCAGTCTCTAAATTGACAGTGCAGCTATTGACTAAAAATGATTCAGAAAGATTAGTATATTCTCAAACCACTTTTCTATTAAGTTGGCTGAGTTTACAAAATAATTACATGTTAAGTAAAGATAGTTCCTATTTACATTTTTCAGAAACTAATGAAAATAATTTGGATGAACAATCAAAAGCTCAACCTTAGGCCAGGGATTTAGCTCAGTGGTTCCACCGTCTGCCTTGCAAGTGCAAGGTCCCAAGTATGATCCCTGGTACCAAAAAAAAAAAAACAAAAACAAAAAAACCTCAATCTCATTTCAGCCAGTACTGAATGGCCAAAGTACCCTGTAATGACCAAATGCTTGGACAACGTAGAGTGCTGCCATTACTGATCCAAACATCATCACGGGCATCAGAGGCTGACTCCTCAAAGCAAGTTAGGTTTTCTGGTCAGAAATGGGCACAGGATGCTTGTTGCCTTTTATCAACCCCAAATGGTATGTGAGAACAGGTGAAATCTGTAGCATGAACCATTCAAAAACAAATCTGTGGCTTTTGCAAAAAAAGAAAAACCGAAGTTATAACATTATAATGTATGGAAAAGACCTACTGAGCTATCAGACCTGCCTTAAGATCCTTGAATTGGTATTTGGCAAACCCTAGAAGCATTCCAGTATATATAGAAACTTCATCTATAAAATCAGAGTGTAGGCTTGATGGTGTCTACAGACAGGCCTGTTTGGTCTAATGTGATGGTCTTCAAATGCATTCCAATTGTGAAATGAGAATACCAGATTTAAACAACACTAAGTATGAGTAGGACCTAATTTAACTTATTGTTATACCTTAATGTTTGTGTACTTAGTTCTTAACGATTTTGTTTAGGTATTCATGCTTTAAAAATCCTTAGAATTTAGGCTTTGACAAAAAGTCCTTACATAGGGCCGGGGATTTAGTTCAGCGGTTCGGTGGCCTGCCTCGCAAGCACAAGGACCCGAGTTCAATCCCCAGTACCAAAAAAAAAAAAAAAAAAAAAAAATCCTTACATATCTAGCAGTAATTAAGATAAAGTTAAATTTAGGTCAGGATATGCCAAACAATTCAAGGTAGAAAACAATGTTTTGGCAGTTTCCATAATGCAATTTAGTATTGCTGAAAATCAACTTCTTAAATTCTTACTAGGGTTAGAGATTTTGCTGTTGCTCAGGAACCACTTTAAATTTACTAGAAGTTCCCAAACGCAAAAACATCTGAGTAGACTGAGAATTACCTATAAATTGTTATACTTTACTCAAAATAATGGCACGACAAGACTCATGAATTTAGCAAAATATAGTGCACCCATAGTTTGCACCATTAATCATCCATCCATTTGTGGCAGATGTTTGTTATAACGACACACTTTTCAAGAAGTTACTTGTAGCAGTGGAGGGCACTATGTATCACATACAGGAGGTCTCATATATCATATAAGGAGGTCTTAGCATTAGCTGCAACATATGTTTCCTAACATGTTCAAATAGCCAGTTTCTACCTTCTTGTCAGTGGTTTCCCCAACAAGCAACAACAAATATGTGTGTGTATAAAATTGAACAAATGAGAGAACACTGTACTTTAAAAGCAAGATGTGAAACTGTCAATAAATAACTGCACAAGGTAAAATTTCCCAACTTTTCCACAAAGGATTTGCTACTGTACTACAATAGGCTTTATCTTTGTACTTGCCCTTTAGGAGTTCCATTTCTAAAACAGTCATTTCAGGAATCTCTGATTAAATTATCATGTGACTGGACAATTGTGAGATACATTTCTCTTTAAAAATTACTCTCAAAAGTTAAATGCATTCTTAAGTGATCACATTTGTACAACTGAAACCTTTTTTCTAGAGTATGCTACTCTTAAAATGTTTGTTAAACGTGGCTGAATTCTTTTTTTTTGGTACTGGGAGTTGAACTCGGGACTTTGGGCTTGTGATGCAGGCAGCACCACTGAGCTAAATCCCCAGCCCTAGCTGAAATTCTTAAAAGGAATTCTGTAGCATCCTACATGCTAAATTCCATAACTCAGTTTAATCTTCAGACACCCACTTGTGCCAGGGTGAGTGCAACAGAAAATCTATCAAACACTGAGTTTATTGTTTAAAGTGAGCACCACTGACTGCTGAGCAGCTGTCATGTTTCCCAACAGAATAGGGTGTAACACTCTTTTGCTCCGTGCTTAGTTCATGGTACACTCTCTCAGGCATGCAATCCAATGAACACATCCACCATTATCATTCCTTGCTGTGTACCAGTCACTACCGTTTTTTTTTCCTTAGTTTATTCTCTTAATAAATAAAAACACATTATTTTATATATTTGGATCAAATTAATTTTATTATGCTCCATGATGAATTGCCACCAGTGCAACATCCTATTCACTATACATTTCAAAAAAAAAAATTCACATACTAAACAAAATTTCAGTTGATAAATGGAAATGAATGATTGAAAATTTTTATGAATCTCATACATACAATATGTGGCTAGCTGAAATTGTCTATCACATAGCATTTAGATATAAAAAGCCTCATGCTAGTTTGTTAAATGCAAAGGCTACCAGACAATCATTTAGCTGGAGTATACACGAGAGGCTTCAGACAACGCACAGGTAGAGTGCTGCCCACAGCGCAAGACAGTGGAGGACTGAAACATGCAACCTTAAATCTTACTTGGTATAATAGATTTAGTCTTTATACCTGGACTGAATTCCACAGTTGTGTTTCAACCAATAGTAATTTAGACTTTGTGCAATAACCAAAAAAAAAAAAAAAAAAAGTTTTTTTTTCTTTAAGAATAAACTCAATGGCCCAGGATTTAGCTCAGTGGTTCTCCCGCCTGCCTTGCAAGTGCAAGGACCAGAGTTTGATACTCGGTACCAAAAAAAAAAAAAAAGAATAAACTCAATTACCTTGGTAAATTATATATCTATCTTACATCTCAAAGAATTAATATCCTCTGCTCAGAGAAGAAACTAAAATACATTTATCTTACCAAAGTTAGCTGGAAAACCCTTAATTCATTAGCCAAAAGTTAAGAGACATCTTAAATTGGAATTCTCAAAGATATTTCTAGAAAACTTAAAATGTTTTTATAATGTCAAGATAAAAAATGTTTTATAGTATTAATCATACTGTCCTATTTACCATCTGCACAAATTCTTAATTTTATTGGTTAGTATCTGTCCAGTCTCATCCACACTAGACTCACTTTTAAGCCACAATTAAAATGAGAGAAAGCAGAAAAGGTTTCTAGCAGCAAAGGGCACTGTTTTTACAACAAACAAAAGTCTAGAATCTTCCCCATGTGCTTAAATTACCCTTGCAAGGAAGGTAACATTCTTTGAATAACTTAACTATTTTACTGCACCACTTACTGCTTTTAGCAACTAAACCTTTTAAATTATTTTTATGATACCTAGATGCATGATCACTAGAGAATATGTGATAAACTGGTTACAATTCAAGCCACATCTTGCAGGTCCAGCCTGTCAAGATCAAGCCAATACTCGATTTTGGTCAGAACAATTCTAGATAGCATAATTTTTAGTTGGATATTGTGACTATAGTAATGAAATACATTTGGAACTACATTCTGCATATGACTCAATGTGAGAAAATACGTATTTAAATCAGATGATTTTTTAACCTAAAATTTAAAGTAGGTAGGCATGATAATTAGCACTAAAAATATGAAACAATCACCTGTAGGTAGATTAGTGTATTGTACAGAGGCAAGGAGACCCTAATTTAACACGCTATTTAGTATGCATAACAAATGTGCAGGTTGCAAAGCTTTATTAAACAAATAAACAATACCTATCAAATCAGTTAAATGTTCCAAGAAATCTGGCCATGAATCTTTTTTTAAAAAATGTAACCATTCACCTGACAAAAATCTTGAGAAACTGCCAAAATAAAAATGTACAGGATAAATTCAGCATTTCAGTGCATAATTTTGCCAGTAATTTGATTTTTTATGGTTCATACAAACTAAAAAATAAAAGTAATCCACACCATTTAAATAATGTTCTGATTTATGTAGCATTTTAAAACAAATATTGGAGTGGTTCACAAAAAAATATAACCCCCAAACCTCCAACTTAAATAATTTTTCAGAATAATGTCAAAATATCTTTAAATAATTTCTGCCTCAAAGAGCCTGCCACATTTGCTGTAATGAAGCCCAGGTAAGGGTTCCTTGTGACTCCAGCCTGCAAATACCACCACTGTACCAGTAACAGGTAATATTGCTAGAAGAGGTGTGTTACCGATTTTCTTCATTAGTATCTCTGTGGTGATTTTATGAAGAGTATATTGCTAAAATTTGAAAAATTGTATCAATGTAGTAACGTCTATAGAAGTGTGCAAATGTATCAGCTTCAACATTCATATGTATGTAGCATTGCATTCAAAATGAAGGGGCTAAAGAAACTAAGGTTTACATCACTTAAAAAAGAATGTAGTGCTATAGTAGATTTCAATAAGAAAATTTAGGTACAGAAAAAGTAGGGTATGAAAATAGTGTTTTCCTTCTGGCATTATAACTAAATTACATTAAGGTTTTTGTCAGTCTCACGCATAATATTTAAACTCCCTTGTTGATGGAATGAAATATATTCACAAATCAAGTGAGCATCCTGGTATAAACTTGCACACAGTCACAGGGAGTAGCTTTGTAGAGTATTATGACAAACCTTTACAGATTAAATGAGGTATTGCACAGATTAATAAAAAAAAAGCAAAAAAGGCAACAAAAATATACAGCAAATTGGTAGAACATTTACATGATAATTTTACAGAATCCATAGACAGAAAGTAGTGTTTATTATTTCACCTTAAAAATATATATATAATATATAGATCAGTCTTCCCATTCGTCATCATCCTCAAAATCTTCTTCATCATCTTCATCTTCATCTTCATCTAGAATATCAAGATAAACAAACAGACATTACATAAATCTTGGGTGATTTTTTTTGTTTTTTTAGCTTGTCAAGAAGAAACCATTTAATTTTTACAGAGAAATGTAGTAACTAATACAGATTAAAATGTAAAAACAAACATTTAGGGATGGAGATTTAACTTAGTGGTGTCACCGCCTGCCTTGCAAATGCAAGGTCCTGAGTTCAATCCCTAGTACCAATAAATAAATAAATAAATAAATAAATTAATTAATTAATTAAAAAAAACCATACATCTAAAATATGTGTGGTAAACTGAAGATGAAAACAGGAGCTCCAAGATTTCGCTCTGTTCCTTAGTTCTATGTAGCAAATTTTTAACCTGTATGTTCTTTTTAATTTTTAATTCACTTATTTTTTGCACTACTAGAGATTTCAGGGCCTCATGCATGCTAGATAAGCTCTTTACTACATCCCAAGCCCATCCTATGTTTCTTAATGGATAAAAGCACATTTGGGCTAGTCTTTCTGAATTTCAGAGTTGCATGTTATGAATTCAACTGCCTTCTTTTACCCTTCACATAGATTCTGAAACTCAAAATTTATTAAGTATTTTCTTCTTCTAAAACTTCTTCCTCTCCTTCCACTCTACTTGGCTATATCTCAATTACTGTTACCATTATCTTGTCAAGAGATTACACCAAAACCCCAGAAACTATTAATGACTCCTTTTTGACCAACCAATCAAGTCTATTTCTTTCTACCATTTCTGCTGCATTTTTCCAGACCATCATGGTATCTTACTTAAATTAAGGAAACTCTATAGTCCTTTTGTTATAGTAAACAGAGTGATAGTTTATATTCTGAATTTTTTAAATATGTGGCTACTCTTCTAAAGGCCTCCTGTGAAATCTGGTGACCTCATTCTCAAAGACCTTACATGATTTTCCAGATCATGTCTCCTCCTTGCCCAGTATTTTTTTCATCATGCTGTTTGGATTCATGGTTTCTATTACCATGTCTTCCTTTCTGTCCCAGAAACACGCCAACCTTTAGAGCTTTCAAAGAAGCTGTTTCTTCTGTCTGACTGAGCCTTCTCACCATTTACTGCTGTCTGCCAGCCAGAGGATCTGCTAAATATGCTTCAAAAATTCATCTGGATGAAAGTATCAATACACCCAACTGTACATTTACAGATTGACTAAAAAAAGATAGGGATTTATAAGCTACCCACTCCTACCTGGTGATAAGGAGAAAGCAGCTAATAAATTCTATCATATATTATCATCAGAAGTACAGTTAAAAGAAATGAATTTTAAAATAAGTAAAAATCATGAGCCATTAGAACAAAATAAATGCTTTATCATGAGCACATGTTTCATAACTTGCCACTGAATGAGGATCAAATCTATGTGATGCTGGTATCTTTCAAAATTCTTAAGTAATTTCTGTATCTGAAGTTATCCTTTGAATTTTCTTTTCCTGAACTTCATAATGGTACTCAACTGAGTTTACTCTCAATAGTCTTAATTAGAACTTTAACTTTTGCCATTTCATGCTTTTGCCAGAAGGCTCAACGTTCTTCATGACTGGGTCAACTCAATAATGTTCTCCTATGTACCAGCTGCTGCATTCATTTTCTAATGAGCCACTTTTCTGGCCTTCAAATATCTTGAGTGAAAGACAACAGAAAACTGAAATTTCCTACCAATATCAAATTATTGCAGAGTGCATGGTAGCAAAAATGGTTTATAAACAATTATTAATTTACATAATCAGTGATAGTATGTACTATTTTTCAGTATTTTATAGTTTTGAAAGGACTTTTTAGTGTAAAACCAATCAGAAAGTCATGTTATTTAAGAGGAAACTTTAGACACCTGCTGATGACAACAATATATGGCAACAGATGAGTATTTTCCTGGATAAGCTTTTAGAAAAGAAATAACTTCTAGGAAAACAAAAGGCCCCTTACTATCTTTAAAGGAAGCAAAATAAAACAGATGATTTTTCAACCTTCAATTCCAGCTCTGAATCTAAGAGAATTTATTCTCTCTGTAATCTAGATACTGCACCTAATACGAAATCTAAAGCTCAATTCCCTCACCTCATTTTTGATCTATCAAACATTTGACCCAGATGATCACTCTGTCCTCTTTAAAATATCTGTTCACTTGGATTTTACATACAATAATCTCTAGTCCTCACATCTTAATGAGATGGACTTTCTTTTCCCTAAATTGACTTCTTTGTTGATCTCATTCCTTTCTAAAACCTTAAGTACCATATACGATGCACAGCCTACTGACATGCAAGTTTACAACATAAGACATCTCCCATGAATTCTAGATCCATGACCAATGTGTACATTTTAATAGGTATATCACATTTAATACGTACAAAAGCCAAACTCTTAGTTTTCAAACTTGCTTCTGTCTGTTAAGGAAATTTTACCCTTCTAACTGCTCAGGCCAAAAACCTTGGTGTTATCCTTCACTTCTCATTCTTTCAAACCTCACTACCAATCTATCAGCGATCCCACTGATCATGTTCAAAATACAACCAGGAACTTTTCATTGGTAATGTACATCTAGTTGAAGCCTCCATGGTCTCTTGCTTGAGTCATGGCCATCCCTCTTTTCTAGAACCTGCTCGTAGTTTTCCATCACATTTAAATGAAAAGTAAGTGGTCTTTAAAGCCTTATTAATGGCCACGTATTTCATTCATTTCTACTCTTTCTCCTGCCCCAGGCATACTGGCATCCTTGTTATTTTTCAACTTTAAGACTTTGCATTTGGTGTTCTTTAACCTGACACACTTCCCCTAGTTTTCTACATGTTTCACTCCTTGAATTCTATCTGGTCTTTTCTCAAATATCACTTCAGTCAGGTTTATTATTCCATTCCAAATGGAACCTCCCTCAGCTTATAATTAATTGCCTGTCTCCCTTTTCTGATAAACTTTTGTCCTTAGTACCTATCACCATTTAATATACTATACATATCCCCTCCCCACTTATTCCATAAGAGCAGGGACTTCTGTTGATTGATTAAAATCGTTGTATTATTTCACAACAAATATTTATGGAATGAATTAGTCTAGCCTCTCTGCAATTTGGAATAGATATGTCCACTAAAGAAAAACAAATGTTACCCAAGTGACTTAACATATCTATGTTCTAGCTACATGCAGTGGCACATGCCTATAAGCCCAGATACCTGGGAGGCTAAGACAGGATAACAAATTTTAGGTCAACCTAGGAAACTAAGCAAGTTTGTATTAATATAAAATTTAAAAAAGGGTTGGGGGGTATAGTTCAGTGGTACACTATTTTCTTAGTATGCACAAAGCCCTGGGTTCAATCCTGAGCGCCCCCTCCATCAAAAGACATTGAGGTCTGTACAAAAAAAAGGAAAATAGGGTGGGAGGCTCAAGAAAAAATCTTTAGTGAATCCCAGCATCAGTGGAATTCACCTAATTTTTCAGCATATACACTCAACAGATCAGAGAAACTTTTGGAATTTCTTATGCCATCAAAATATCATAGGAGTGAGATCCAGAAATTTCAAGCCTCATCTAGAGGTTACTTATCAGGAACTCAACTAATATTTGTCAGTAAAGAAAACAAAACTACCATTCTCGCAAAGTCGTTCTTCCAGTTTTTTTATAAGGCTGTGGTACCCTGGCATCTGCTAAGTTTCAAAGGACAAGTCATATGGACAATAATTGTTTGAATACTGCCTAGAACTTGTCTCCATAACTTACTCAATTAGCACCAAAAAAAGCTTATGAAACAGTTGTTAAAATAAAAATAGCAGAACTTTAGGCACCCAAATTTATTTTACATGCACAATCTCACATGTGCAAAGAAATACCTGAAGAATGAATGGCTTTGCTCCTTTTCTGCATCACTTCCATCAATGCACCCACAATTCCTGAGGCGGGTGCAGGTGTTGGTGGTGTAGATTCTTGGCCATCAGACACCTTGGAAAAGAAAATTATGAAAACTCAGTTAACGAGCTAGAGATGTAGCTGTGTGGTGGAATAATTGCCTGGCCATGTGCACCACCATGGGTTCAATTCCCAGAACCACGCACACACAGAAACTTAAACATAAATCTTTAGCAAAGAGCTTCTCTCTATAGAATGTCTCAATTTGTTAGTCACTTATGTCCAAAGAAAACCATAAAAAAAAAAGAGAGGAAAAAAGCAGGGAAATCTAAAGCCCAGGATATAATTACCTAAAATAAACTACTACCTTTAAAGAATTATCGAGGAAAAATTTCCTTTCCTTCATAATGTCATTAATACATACATAGCACATGACACATTTCCAAAAATTGACTGTATTTATAACATAATTAAACCCTTTCCTGAATAATACTTGCCCCTGAAGCTGGGTTACTTCTGTTCAATTGAGCACACAAACTGTTAGATGATAAAACTTAAAACTACTAAGGGGCATGAGTTTATGAACTGAGGATATTTAGATTCCTACACTTTTTAGGCGGGGAACACATTAAGATATCTAAGAGCAGAAGTTCATGTTTTCCAAGAAAAATTCAGTTGTTCATGTATATGGTGTACTTACATGTTACATAATTATAAAATCATAATTAATGTATATAGCATATTTCAAAATATTTCTCACTGCATAAAACTTCTCTTACAGAAGCGTGAGAAATTTCAAAATACATCCATCTAACAAGTCAAATAACTATCCCTAGTGGAAGTATAACTATCTCATCCAAAGTATATTGAGAAAAAAAAATACCACTTTCATTAAAATTTATTTTCCAGAATAACATATTAATAAAATTATCCCTATTCCCAATATTCACATTGAAAAAGGAATACAGAAAAAAATAACTTAAAATGTACTGATTGAAGTGACTGATTAAAATGAGAAACTGTGTTTATATATTCACTTTGTTGTATTTGTCTCTACTTACAGTAGCCACATAAAGGTGTAATATTGGTATAATTAAAGATGAAAAAGTATAGCGGTAATTAAAGTATAATTAAAGATGAAAAAGTATAGTATATAAGTTTTAAAAACATGTATTTTTTATGGAAACAAATTTTTTGTAACTAGGGAAGGGTGGAGGGGGTGATGGGAGGGCAGGAGTATGGGGAAAAAAAGAGAACCAAGACTTGTCATGTAAAGGTACAAGATCCCAACGATGAATTTAACTGTACTGTATACCTAAAATATACCAACAAACTCAATGAAAAAAAAAAAGGGCCAGCACTGAGGAGCCTTTAGCTCTGGTTCAGGTTGCTGATCCCTACACATGGAGAAGTGGAAATGCCAAAGAAAACAAAAAACAAAAAACATATGTTTTTATTTATTTATGTGACACTCTAAGTAATTTCCTGAAAAAAAAAATACCTTATTAAGACAATTCTTTCCCTTTACTGCTTGTGTCTTTGGAATAAAGACCTTATCTTTTTAAAAATACAGCAGTACCTCCGTTCATGAACTTAATTCTTTCCACAATTCTGGTCACAAACTGAATTCAGATTCATGAATGGAGGTACCACAGCATTCAAAAGATACAGACTCATTCATTAGCAATTAGGTTTTAGAGACTGTTATTACATAACTATGGGCAAAGAGGTATCTCAAATGGAGAGAGTAACAACGTTTCAGAGCTCTCTATTTTTGCGGGAGGGTCTAAAAGCATCCAGGACTACCCTTAAGCATCTGATAATACAAAGCAGAGAGCACAAAGCACAAATCTATCACTAAACATATTTTTTTAGTACAGTACCTACTTGGACAGGGTGCTACTTGAGGTACTATAAACATGGAATTCAAGATACTACATGTTAAATGAATACTTGTATTACTCCTGCTAGCTCTCTAATTAAATCTATAGTTTCATGTTTGTAATATTCATCACAGAATGAACTGATGATATACATAGAAAATTTAAAGAAATAGAAAAACTTCAGATCAAATGTATAACATGCCAATAATTCACTGATTATGTACTCTATGATAATATAATGAATGCACCCAAAAAGAAAGTGATTATTTAGGGTAAAAATGGTTTAGTATTCTATATGTAGGGTGGGAAATACTTTTCTCTCTAAAGAAATTTAAAAACCGTACACAAATTGTTTCTTTTGGTGAAAAGGAGAAGGGCTAGAATGAAAAAAAAGTGAGAATAATCTACAGCCCAAGGGCATTTCAAGTCTAGTCTATTCCATTTTAAAAAACAGCCTGAAAGTTAATAAGCTATTTTTACATATTTAAAGAGTTCAAAAAAGGAGTATCTGTAACATGAGGAAGTGACAATGCGAATTTTAGTGTTCAAACAAACTTTATACAACAACATTATGACTGTTCATTAATTTATGTACTCTTGGTGGCCACTTCAGTGGTAGAACGGCAGACCTGATTAGCTGTGACAAGAGTCACATGACCCGTAAGCCTAAATATTTACTATTTGGTCCTTTAGACAAAAGTCTGACAACTTCTGGAAGATTAAATGATCTATAGTATTGAAATTCAGAAAATTCAAAATTGTATGCTCTCACTGTCAGAAGCTCTATTAGAAAGAACTCTTTCAATTTTCTGTGCAGATTCTTCACTACTCTAAATTTCAGTATATATACACTTTAAAATGTCTTCATTTTCATATAGTTACTGATTTGGATTTATCAAGGTGACCTCAACTAGTATGAAGTAGGGCTGTTTTAAATTATCCATAGTTTACTAAGAATTTTTTTTGTTTGTTTGTTTTTTTTTGGTACTGGGGATCGAATTTGGGACCTTGTGCTTGTGAGGTAGGCAGTGTAACTACTGAGCTAAATCCCCAGCTCATTACGAGTTTTTTTAAACGTATCTTTTACTTAAAAGTAGAGATCAAAATAATGAATTCCTAACATACTACATAATTCCATCTCTATGAAGTTCTAGAATAGGCAAAATGAATTTATGGTAATCAGGTCAGTGATTGTTTTGGGAGGAACTAACTGGGAAGACACAAACGGTAACTTTCTGGGGTGACAGAATATTCTACATTTTGATATAAAAGTATGATTACACAGCTATAGGCATTTATCATCTGAGCTAAAAATTCACATTTGTTGCATGCAGAGATATATAAAAATTCACAGGATTAAGAAACTGAATATAAATTACAAAAGATAAAAGAATAAACTTTTATTTTTTCTAGTACAGGGGCTCAAGCTCAGGACCTTGTGCTTGCAAGGCAGGCACATGCCACTGAGCTAAATCCTTACCCCAGAATAAACTCTTCAAAAATGCCTTATGAATTTCTTTATAATTTCATTGTGCTAGACAATTAAAACAAAAAGATTCAGGGCCGGGGATTTAGCTCAGTGGTTCTGCTGCCTGCCTTGCAAGCGCAAGGTCCTGAGTTCGATCCGCGGTACCAAAAAAAAAAAAAAAAAAGATGCAACTTAAAATGAAAAGATTACATTACTTACAGATTTCAGTTGAATACCCTGTCGTATCTGGTCTAAAAGTGCATCTCTCCCAGAGCAGGACACAGGTCGACTATTCTGTTCCACTTTTTTTAGTTGAGCACCCTCTCTTATTTGATCTAAAAGAGCTGCTTTGCTTCCGGCAGGTGTTGGAACTTGATGGTCCCCATCAGAAGGGAGGCCAGGGGGAGGTGGTGGCCCGGGTGGAGGTGGAGGTGGCGGTGGCGGAGGTGGTACCACTGACCCTGTTGTCACCGACAGAGGTGGAGGAGGTGGTGGGGGCCCTGCAGGTGCGGAGGAGGGAAGGGCTGGAGGTGGAGGAGGGTACATCCTGTTTGGCGGAGGTGGGGGGACACCCACTCCTGGCCTGGACGGTGGTGGTGGAGGTGCAGCTGTGGGTGCTCTTGAAGGTGGTGGGGGAGGAGCACCTCTTCCCCTGGCGGGGGGAGGAGGAGGGCCTGAGCTGTGTGGAGGGGGAGGAGGTGGCGGTGGACCTCCTCGTGATGGTGGTGGAGGTGGTGGTGCTGAAATAAAAACAGATATACAATGAAAGCATCCTTTTTGCCTCCCATAAATATCCTATTAATAAAGTAATTTACTTTAACATGCCAAAAAAATAAGATTTTTAAAAAGCCTCATCTTTGCATTTTATTTATTAGTTGAGCACACATATCTTGCAATTCTACTTGGAAATAAATACTAGCTTAAAGATACTTTCCTGTTGTTTCTTGAAAAATATTAACTAAAACAATAAACTATAATGTTTAGGGTTCAGTGTCAGTTCTGAAGGTAAGAGCAATATACACTTTTAAACTTCACATAATAACAGGAACATAATAAAATTAAAGATTTTATTTCATATTACTTTACATTTTAATAAAACTTCATGAATATTTTCCCTCTTTAAAGAATCAAATACAATTAGTTTTTGAAAAAATATAAAATCAGTTAAGATTCAAATTTTTCAATATGGGCATAATCTATGAGAATTTATTTACATTAATCTGGTCCTAAATCCAAGTGTGAATGCTTTTTTAAAAAATATAATCCTTTCTTATTTAATTTACATGTACTTTTATAATGTGGTATTCTGCATTCTAGAAATGGTCAGCAATTCTGGAAGTAGTATTAATGGAAGCTGGCTGCTCAATGGAGATGTTTACTTATTTAGGAGATATGAACTAATCACTGACAAATTAACAGAATTTGTATACACCACAAAATTAAACTAGTTATCATTATTCTGATAGTAATGATACTTACATTCTTATTCTAGTTATGTGAAAATATATGATAGAAAAATAAATCCAAAAGTAGAACAAGAGAGTTTTTATTAAATTTCTGGAGACTTGATTTTTGCCAATATACAGATTCATGTAATAATTTTTCACTTTCCCATTCAGAGTGATCAGAATTAACATTTCAGAAACATAGATATACTAGCATTCCTTACAGGTATTTATATTTCCTGATATAGAATATAAGGCAGTACTGAGGAATAGTCTTACCTAATATAGTCAGTTAAAATACCTACCTTAATTACAAATATCAACAGGCTTAGGTGCTCAGTAATGCAGTGATACCAAAGAGGAAAACATCCTCACTTTAAAGGGAATAAAATAGTACCTTCTGATTTCATTTGGGGCCAATAATGGGGATCATGCTTTAAAAAATTACATAATTTAAAAAACACCAAATGAAACATATAGAAGGGACAAAATTCACATAGGCACTATTCCTAGCATACACTTTTTTCCAATTGCAAGTAATATATAGCTGCAAGCAGGACAGTTATCTTACAGACAGGTCATCACAGTGGAACAATTCTATTTCACATTCAAGGTATAAAAGGTCAGAATGTTGCAGCTAAGCCTCATTCAATTTTCTAACTAGACTCAAAAGAAGAAGACTTAAAACTTGCTAAGAGCAGACTTATTTTCTAGCATATTTTCAATTAAAGGGCAAAAGGAGGAGAAAATTGCATATATTTATTATGCACATCCTGAATAATTGTGTATCTGACCTTGCAAAGAAGATATAAAATTTAATTTTCATCAGTTTTAGGTTTATATTTCAAATTGCCATATTTACCTAAACTGGCATGTTTATAATTAGCTCATCTCTTATTTAAGAGGAAAGGAATTCAAATTATTTTACTATTATCTTACTATAAATTCTAACAGATTATGTGACACTGTAAAATTGAAATTTTAAATGGTTTTATATTTTAAAAACCTAAATGTATTTGATTTTTTCTTTTACTATGTATTATCCAAATTATTAAGTATTAAATAATCAAGTATTTCTCATGATTTCATCAAGAAGTTGAGATTAAAACTCTTTTGAACTACAGTAAAGTACATCAATTGGGATAATTTATAGAGTCTAGGTTAACATCTATTCAAACAGACACTAAATCATTGCTTAGAGAAAGGAGAACCTTACTGTGTGATGAATAATCTATCAGCTAAATCCAATTTGAAAATAGTAAAAAACCAGCATTTTTATTATCTTGAAAAATGATAGCAAACTTTTCTGCATTTTCTTAAAATACCTATTCCAAACTTTGTTTTAATAATCTGCATTTTATCTATATAAAAAGGAAAGTATGTAAAAATAAAAAATATACTGAATCCCATGGAAAAAACTGGAAAGAATTAAGGCAGAAAAGGAAAGATAATGTGCTGTTAACAAGATTTATATCGATATATATGAATCAGATACCACACACCATTAGAATAAAATCTGACAGAAATTTTGAGTCACCACAAACACCAGAATCAGAATGAAAACAGGGTTGAAATTTACAAGAAAGAGAAAGCAAGGAAGCACACAAAGAAGCATGAAACAAAAGTTTTAACAACAAATGAAAACTGCTTTCACTATCAAATTTATTTTATTCAGGCTATTGAAAAAGGTCAAGTATAAAAAGCAATTAACTAGGAGGAATACAAATAACAGGAGGCTAAGTAGTTTCTGTAGTGTAGTGGTTATCACATTCACCTCACACAAATAACAGGAGGCTGGAGCGAGAGGTGTTTTTTTTTAATACACAGAATGTCAACAAAATTATCTAAATTACAGACAAAATATGAGCTCTGATTCACACAGAAATAAAAAAAGATTTTAAGCTTCTATATGTCCAAAACATTAATTTGAGTATATGGCAGAAATCAGCACAGCACAACATGCACTGCGTCAAATCACATCCCACATACATACCACTCCATTGTGGTGGACCTATACAAGAGATTATCAGTTAATGGACTTCAAATAATCTCTCACACACACACACACACAAAGATATGGTGGAAACTACAAGTCTATTTGTTTTTATAAATTCCATTACATGACTTTACAAAGTAACTGCCAAGAGATGAGATTTGATTCAGTAGGTTTTACATAGCATAATTTTAAAACAATTTCATTAACTTCTCCCTCTCAAGTTTGATAAATATTAACTTACATTATGTGCTCTGTGAACACAAGATTTTAATAAGTTGTTAATTTGCCTTGTTACTCTTTCTTCAAAATATTTTACATTAAAATCATTTTTTGGTGTCTAAAGGTTCCACACTGAAAGTTAGTTCTTGAAAACAATACACAATTTTTACACCTTATACTTTGTTTCCAGCACATTTTTTTAATGACTATGACTTTTTTCATTTTAGGTAATTCAACTAAGACCTTGCCTTATTGTTTTTAAAGAATGGACAATAAAAAGCAGTGATAATAATATAAAGTTGTTTTTTAAAAACTCCAATGTGAGTTTTTACACTGTGACCAACCAAGAGTGCTTAAAAACAACCATGATGCTTCACCCACGCTTTTTTTAATTCAAAGGATTTGAAAATATAATCTGTCTGAAAGTAAGTTCACATCATGCTAGTTTCAATGGAACTAACATGTTGACAACAGCGTAATATAAATTGAAAGTTTGTATTTACTGCATTTTATAAAAATTTTATACTAAATTTGTGTATAAAACTTTATATATGTTTTCCACTGCAGACTGTAAGATTTATGAAGGGTAAAAAAAAAAGTATCTTTACATCTAAATATTCTGAGAGCACAATCAGAATAGTAATGTTTATTGAATATATGAAAGAACAAATCATATATTAAAGAATGAATACCCATCAACTGTGACAAACACAAAGCTAAGTCAAAAGCTAACTTAAAATTAAGAATTTTTAAATTAAGAATATTTTATCTAGAGCTTTTGTTTTACTTCACTATTATAACTATTTAAAATTTAACAAGAAAAGCTGGCCCAAATTAGTAAGGGAGCAAGAAAGAGGAATGTCACGCTGAAAAATGTGTTGCGTTTTGTGATAATTGCTAAGATACAACTAAAATACAAAGTGCTTTAACTATCAGATCATAAAAAGTTAACAGACTGTGTTCTCAGGAACCAAAAGAAAATTTTAAACTTTTTGAAGAAAAGTTTATATTTCAAAATTAATAGGTTAATAATATTTATATTCTGAAAATTCTTACTTTATTGTTTAGATAGGGACCATATTTAAATGACTAGTTCTGAAATACAAAACAACTATCATAATTGTGTGTGGATTTCTAGGATTCAGTAAAGCAAAATTTTCAGGTTAAGTGTTTTTGTACCGGTGATCAAACTCAGAACCTTGCTCTTCTGAGGCAGGTGTCGGAACCACTGAGCTAAATCCCCAGCCCATATTAAGGTAACTGTAATTCTGTATTCTAAAATAGAATAGCTGGAAATTTTTATACAGATTTTCATGAATTTAATGTAAAATTTTTATAACAAAGCAATAAATATGAACTTTCAATTTATACTAAAATAAGAAACAGTATGGTAGTACAATATGGTCAAATATTCTGTTCAAGGAAGGGCTTATAGAATGTAGAGCCATCTGTCATAAAACTGATATCAGAAAATTCAGAAGAAAAATAAAAATAAGTTACCTTGCCTTCGTAGTTCATTTTTAACAGCTTCCACACCTCCTGTTTTCTCAATAAAGTCATATATAACTTTTGATGTTTCTCTGTCTTTAAGTTGTGCCTCTGAGATGCCACACATATCAAAAAGATTCTTCAATTCTGGATCCAGATTATTCAGCTACAACAGACAAAATAATTACTATTACAATTCTTACAAAAATAAGCATGATAAAATGTCATACTTATCCGAGTTTTTATGAAGTTAAGTTTAAGAAGTTTTAAATGGTTATATTATTTAAATAACTAAATTTTCTCAACCACTTAACAGTTTATCCTGATTTTCAGGTGGGCAGCATGTTTGTTTATTATATTTACTATCTTGAGTAATGCTCGGGCAGATATTTTAACCAGTCGATTCTTTTACTGAATAAATTTGATAAAAGTTGTCATTTCTATATTTCCTGTCATATTACCTTATAAAAATTTATGAAAAAAAAATGAAAGTTTTGGTTATCCTGTTTTAAATAATTGGGACTGGTAAGTGGTCAATAAAAAAGTCTGAACAGAGAAGAAAAAAATGAATTTTCTATTTTGTACCATCTCTTTACCCTTCAAAAAGAGGATATCTCATTTAGATCTATTCTAATTCACTGATGATTCAGGTATCTCTAGTGTTTCTTCTCTATTCTACCTTGTCCTAGATTTATGTATAATCATGAATAAACACAAAAAAGTAAATCAATTTGAAAATTTGAAGGCAAGGACCTCTGTGTACCCAAGTATTTTGCTATAGTGCCAACACAAAGAGGCACTCAATACGTTTATAGAGTTAACATCATAGTTATATAATCAAAAGGACTGTTGACACCAATCATAAATAGTAATTCCTCTTAAAATACTTTTACAAAAAGCTGGAAGATATAATCACCTAAAATTCTAACTTAACAGTAAGAGCTTTCTTCTCTACACTTTCCAAGCACAAGACTTCATTTATTGAGCAAGGTCAAGGAGCACAAAAACTTTGTCCTAAAACTTATTAATGAATGACAGAACAGTATTATGGTTTCAAACCTTAGTGCTATGCTCACATAAATACAAGCACAAACAAGCTGTAGAATTCAGAAAGAAAGAACAAAGAGAGAATAATAAAAATTAAAATCTAAAGATAAGCCCATAATACCCCATATATTTTGAGTACTAATAAATATGGCTTCAAAAGATACTTACATCAAAGCCTGTATTTGGATCCCACCCAACATGTCCAATGTGTCTAAAGTAGAAAATTAAAAAAATAGAAAAGTAAAATGCATAAAAATATATTTAAAACATATGTATGAAATCTAATTTATCCTTAAAGTTCTGAATTGAACTAATACACAGTTCTCTTAGGCATAACCACATTTTGAGGAAAAAATATACACAAGGAATCAAGAGACCAGGATTCCAGTCCTGGCCCCGCTACTATTTGAAAAAAATTTTAGCAGTCTCTCCAAGCATCAAATTCTTCAATTGTCTGAGCAGTATAAGAATGAAGCACTATGTGTACATGATATATATAATAATGTTTATAATAAGCTAATGAAATCTGTGTATGAAAATGCTTAAAATATGATATATGAATACCAAAGATTTTTCGTTTTTTGGCCTCTTAACAATGTCAGTAGGCGATTTCCAAGTACTAATTAATATGAAAAATCATTTTTATGTCTAATAGTTGAATAAACTATTTGAATTTTTATTTTCTAATGAATAAAAAAGCGAATAACATCTATGGAGAAATTGTCAAAATAAAACCTCCAACAAAATCTATAGCTTTGAAAAAGTGATGAATGTAAGCATCCTCCCCCAAAGAAAACAAAAGTCTCCTAGAGTAAAAATTCAAGGGCAGCAATGAATAAATCAAAGTTAAGATAAGAACAAAGAACTGTCTTACTGGAAATTGCTTGGTGTTCCAATATCTGCCTTGGTTAATCTCTTCTTTTTAGCTTTTCCCTTCTTCTTTTCTTTGGTATGAGAGATGTTGTTGACTTGTGGACCATAAAACCTATTTGTTGTAATTTCTGGATTTTTTATGTCTACTGTAGCCATGGGCAGATTAGGACCTACAAATAAAACCAAAATAATACGAGATATAATTTAAGTAAATAAGTCACATAATTAGTGACAGAGGCAAAAGTTAACTCTGGTATCTCGGTTCCTAGCCTACTACTTTTTCCATTACTAATTATTTTGTCTTTTGCACAAGTCAAGCAATGAAGTAAATGATGATGCTACCATTACAAATATCACCATACATTATTGTTTTACTAATTTATCAGTTCTTTCAGTGTATAATCCAACAATTTGTTATTAAAAAGATACTAAAAACTGAGAATATAGAAAGAAAAGATCTTTAGAAAGGGTAGATACAAAAAATTAGGTATTTGGTTGTTTCTGTTGCTAACAATTACTTACTTTAGAAATTCATGTTAGAAAATAAGCTTAAAATGGTCCTAAAGCCCAATTCTGTGTTTCAAAAGTGCTATGATAAAAAAGTGTTAACTTATATAAAGCATAAAACCATTTTAAAATACAATTTAAAGAAAATTTAGTATATTCAAGTCATTACTAGTAAAGTTTCATTTAGCTACTCCATTTATGAAATTACATTCACCCTAAAAACAACTACTACATGATATATAATGAAGGGAGCTATTTTCCCTCTCCTTCAAAAAATATCCAAATGATAAATCACCTCCTTATGTTTAACGACAACAGGTAAAGGTTTTAAGTATTCTTCTGAACAGCAGAAATTTCTAGTTAATTTTAAATCTAAGATTCTCTTAAATTCCATAAAAAGCAGAGAACTCTCACCAAGGTAAGATAACTGAGAAACAAGTGGCCCAGATGTCTCTGGTCTCAGTCAGGAAGTAAGAACAAATCACTGGAAAGTGTGCAAGTGTATAAAATGTGAGACTGACCAATAAAGAAGTTAAGAGTTAGTGAGGGATATATCAGGTTTCGTTTAAGGAATTTATGTGATTTCTAAATACAGTGTCTTTTCTCTTTTTTTTTCTCATTGAGTTTATTGGTACATTTTAGGTATACAGTACAGTTACAGTCATCATTGGGATCTTGTACCTTTGTATGACAGGACTTGGTTCTCATGTTTTCTCCTTATCCCTGCCCTCCCTTAACCCCCTCCTCCCTTCCCTATTTACAAATACTTTATTTCCATTTTATCATTTTCTCATGTTTTTTTCTTCTTTTCCCTTATTTCCTTTCTCCTACACCTTTAGCCCTTTTTTCCTTCCTATTTGACATTGTCAAATATATCATTAGGATCTTATGCACCATTATAGTTTTTCACACCAGAGAAACTATTCGGTATTTATACTTGTGTGACTTATTTATTTCACTGAGGAGTATAATCTTCAATATGTATCCAATTTCCTACGAATGACTAATTTCTTATTCTTTATGGCTGAGTAGTATACCATTTTATAAAAAAAACCACATCTTCTTTATCCAGTCTCCAACTGATGGGCAAATGGGCTGTTTCCAAGTTTTAGCTATTACAAACTGTGCCACTATAAACAGTGTCTTTTTGAAAGATGTGATAAATTGATAATCAAAGGAGGATCTGAGACAAAGCTCCTGCATGAATACAAGTTATGGTTAAAGTGCCTACTGCCACCTAGTGGTGGTGTACCATATGCAGCAGAGCAATAACTGCTTTGAAATACTGTAGGGGTCTTCACATAAGATAATGGGGTGGAGAAAGCAAGATAAATTGCTCAAGTGCAAGAGGAACAAAAAAATATTAAAACATTTAGTAATAATTATGTAATAAGTATGTAAACAGTAAATATATACTTATAAATAAAAACTGTAAAACTATTGGCCATATCTACTATATAGTTTTGTCTCTTAGCAAGACTTTAAAAAAATTATTAATGAAAAAAGTCTGGGACCACTACATGAAAAAGTCAAAATTGAAAATTTGAAACCAAGAGCACTCTGAGAAAAAGAGGCTATATTTCATAAGTGACTTTAGAAATAATAAAATTGCAAGACACCACTGTTACATAAAAAACTTCATTATAGAGAAAAAACTTGAATGTTTTATATAATTTGTACAATATATACACACTTTAAACGTGGGCCACATTTCTCCACAGTTTTTAGATGGCCACCACTAGGAAGCCTTCCCTTTTGTAACTCAATGTATGCTCAACAAATGCAAAATAATTTAAATTCAAAAAGAGATCAACATGCTGTGTGTACCAAAATGTTTAATACTGTACTAAAAGTTCACAGATGAATGACATGACTTTGCTGCTTCCTCTGCCTTTGCTTCTGCTACACACCAGCTGCCTATCTTGAGACATGTTCTTTATTCTCTCTAGGTCTGTTTCTACTTCAAAACCATCGTACCATAGTAGTTAAGAGGCCAGCCTCTGGAGGTCACTGGATACAGAATCCTGCTCCAAAATGTACTAGTTATATGACTGCTACGGCTTGTGTTGAGGTGTGCCCCCAAAGCTCATGTGGTCACGGGCTTTTTCAGAGGTGGCTGGATCTAGAGTGTGTGACGGTGGGATTAAGGGTGTGTGATTACTAAATCAGTACAATGATTGATTTGGCATGTTCTAGCTGTGGGTTATGGGAAGGCCCACTCTAGGTTTGAGTACTGCCCATCCTAAAGGTAGGTAGCCTGGACAGAATATAAGGGACAGAAAGAAGGCTTGCTGTTTGTCGCTAGCCCCTTGTTGCTTGCTACCTCACTGCTAGCTACCTTTTGTCTGCCCTGCTTTGTCATGTACTGTTTGTTTCTCTTCTGTCATGCCACTCTGCCTCACCAGACAACTATGAACTGAAACCTCCACAAACTGAACTACAATAAACCTTTCTTTCTTTGAGTGTTGGGTATTTTGCCTCAGAAAACAAGACAAAGTAACTAAGACAGTGACCTTGAACAAATTACTTCTCTGCGCCGGTTTCTTCATCTATAAAATGAGGATTATAGGAGCTATTTCAGAAGGCTGATGAACAGTGCCTGCGGTAGTAAATGATCATCAGAAGTTACTTTAAGCTTTGTTGTCATTACTTTCATTATTTTTATCGAGCACTATGGTAAGCAATTTGATTGCATCATTAAGCCTGACAGACCACTGAATTATTACATCCATGTAAAAGACAAAGTCAAAAGTATATACTTGCCACATGGTAAATACTACTGAAATAGTTAGCCATTATCATTTTTAATAAGGAAAGGCAGAAGGAGAGAAAGGGGGGAGCTAAAAAATTAAGAAATATTACGTACACGTACCAACTCCCCATGGTGAAGGTAATCATTATGTACAAATATGTACCAATAAGAAATTTAATAAGGTAAATAATAAAATTTAATACAACACTATTTGGTGCACGCTTTCATATCAGGGAAAGAAATTTAAGTACAGAATCAGAAAGTAATAATCTGTTTCAAAGAAAAAATCCTTAAGAACCACTAATAGTCATTATACAATAAGAACTCTGTATTATGTGGATATTTTTTAGAATCATCATTCTAAATTCTGATGGGAAGATGTGGATGATTTAAAAATAAGAACAGCTATAATCTTTATTATAATGAATGTTACCAGAGTGTGATTATTTCCCTTCATGAGGTCAGGGACACACATTTCAATGTGATGAAAACTACAGATTCTCTCTCCCAAAAAAAAGGAATTTAGACAATTATAAAGTCTAGCACACATAATTTGTGGGTGGGTTTATAGAATCTAGGATGAGAATATCGGCCTTAAGAAATCTGGGAATTTACCTTTAACATCTTGATATTCAATACTAAAATAAATAAATAAATTTATCATACTTTTAAGTGTTCATTTTCAAATTAGTGAAGGCTGTATTTAGCTAAAATTAGTTCAAAACATAAACTGTTCATTTTTTTAACAGGCTTCATATAATAAGTGTGAAATATTTTGAAATATGAAAAAAATCTTAAAGAAGTATGAAATGAATAAATATGCTGGATCAAATTTAATGCCTTTATGGAAGATTTTAAGACAAGAATGTACAGTTTCTAAACTTGGGCAGTTTTTTAGCACAGAATTAATTACTTCACCCGATGTATTCTTCCTTTATGTTAGAACCACAACAACATAAACAAGAAAAGTTCAAAATAATATGTTTCTAAAGTTTCACCTGTCATTCATGAATTAAAACAAGAACATTAAATTTCAATAATTGATCAATGACAAAATATTAAGTATTAATATATGAGATATATTTCTACAAAAATTAAACTGTAATCTAAAATTGTTTTAGTCAATAATTATGAAAGAGCTTACCATTTGGGGGGTCTCGTCTTTTCTCTGTTAGAAAATAAATTATAATATTATTAGACATATATAATGTCAACACTAATAAAATTAACTCACTTAAACCCTGCTATATTCTGAAGATGATATGCAGGTTAAGGAAGATTTTTCTAAATAACTGACACCTAAATAAAGTGAGGAAGGGGACAATATATTCAAAGGCCTAAGAAAGTCACAGCATAAGGGAACCTGTGAAGATTAAATGTCATAAGCATGAACTAAAAATAAGAAAAACAACAATAACGAACATGGAGACAGCGGATTTAGAGACAGAGGAAGGGAGGTGGGTCAGGAGAGGAAAGGAAATAAAAAGAATCAAGATGTGTTATGTATATGTACCTATTCCCTAAGATGAATGTAAATTTCATGTGCAGCAAGCATGTACTAAAAAAGAAAAAAATATCAAATAACTTTTTGCACATGACATTATTTTTACATGTACAATAATGCTAATACTAGAAATGTCACAATAAAAATATAGGGAAAAAATACTGGAATGGAGTAAGCAAGGGGAATAATTCTAGGGCTGCACAGTCCACAGTTAAGGACTACACATCTTATTCTGAATATGACAGAAAGCTCTTCCAAGGTTGTCAATAAGGGCAGGTGACACGATCTCATCTATGTTTAAATGGCTACTGTGTAGAAAAGAGATAGCAGCGGGATAGAGTGGCAGCAGAGAGCTTAGCCAGGAAGCTCAGGTGGTAGGACAGATGATACAATGGTAGCCTGTATTTGGATAAGAGTGGCAAAGGTAGCAAGAAATGGTCATGAACAACACTATTTTTTGTGAATATGTGTGTGTGTGTGTGTGTGTGTGTGTGTGTGTGTATGTGTGTGTTTGAGACAGGGTCTCACTATGTATGTGAGACTGACCTGGAACTCACTATGTAGCCCAGGCTGGTCTCAGCCTCCAGAGTGCTGGGATTACAGGTGTGCGCCACTATGCCCAGCCCGACACTATTTTTTTAAGAAAAAGCCAACAGATAGGATTATGAAGAAACACAGAGAGCTCCAGTGATGAAGCAGGGAAATTGCCTTTTTACTGTGACAAGGAAGAGCAGCAGTGGAGTAGAAACAGGTCTGAGAAGGACTGGGGATAGCAATGGCACTGGGACAGGGGCCTGGGATCAAGTGTTCTGCTGCTCAGCAACATTAAGTCTGAAGCTATTCTGACACCCACTAGACATTCTGAAGGTCAGGAGAGAGGTCAATATTGAGATAAAACTGTAGGAGTTATTAGCATATAGATATTTTTCAAGCCATGATATTGGAACAAAACACCAATAAAATTATAATAACCAGGAAACTCTAAATACTGGGAAAGGCCAAAAACCTACAGGTAAGCCAAGTTTTTTTTTTTTTTTTGGTGTGGCATGGCCTTCACAGTCTGTTACACTCCCACCCCTTTTTCTTTTGAGCAGGTTTCGCTAAGTAGCTAATTGCTTAGGCTAGGCTCAAACTTGCAGTCTTCCTGTGCCAGCACCCCAGATTGCAGGGATTATAGACATGCATCACCACACCCAACTGAAAACCATAATTTTTATCAATTCTCTACACACATAGTCATATCAAGTTTGTAAAGAACAAGACACTATTTGGCTTTAGAAATTTCAAAAGAAGTTGAAGAATTTAAAAAAATATAATTTCTATAGATTCTGTAATATAATATTTTCTGAAATTCTAAGACATACCCATAACTGTTTGATATAATAATTACTTTATAAAAAATCATAAATCAAAATCAATAGGATTTAGTTGGTGGACAAGTTAAAAATCCTAGGAAATGTTGATGTATTATTCTATTTGCAGACTTGATGGAGTAACTTCTAGAAACATTTAAAGTGAGCAAGTCCTCTCTATATCAATGACTATTAATCCCCATTTTCTAGAGTAATGTTATTTGAGTATAGAAAGGTAATATTTCTTAAGCTGGTGGATGACACACATAAATATGGAAATATACTGAAATAAATGTAAAAGTTGAGAACATAAGTTCTAAGAAGCAATTACTTAGATATACTGACTTGAGAATCATTCATGTGAAAAAGAAGAACACTGATTGAATCAAAGTGGGAACTAAACAATGTTTAATCAATTTCAGAAATATTTTAGTTATCACAGTACTAGTTCAGACTACATTTAAAGTTGAAAAACATGTAACACCTACAATGGATTCAGAATACAGTACTCAGGAAGGGATATGTAAAAACTATCACAGAACAGTGTAAGACACTGGATCTAGTTAGGCGAAATAACAGAAAGCATAAAGAGAACATGATAGCTCCCAAAGTTACACAGTATAGCGAGAAACTAAAAAATAAAGAATCTGTTGCCCCATAAGAGGGACCCAGGTACCTAAACTATAGAAAGATGAAAGTGGAGTTTGATTCAGCATGAAGGGCTACAAATGATGATTAAGCCTCTTCTCTAATGATCTTCTACTTCTATGATCTTTTTACTACTGAAACACTGTCTAAAGTTTAGGAACTTTATATAAGATAATTACTATGCCAGGTAATAGACCTTTAACTTATCCACCAAATGCAAAGCCAATTATTTTTGTTTTAAGAAGTATTTTTTTTCTTTTCACATGTAAACAAAGTATATTGAAAATGTCACATTTTGACTGAGAAGAGCCCCAGAGAGCCATTGGGCTAGCACCACAGCATGACATTGAAACAGGAGGTACTGAACCATAATTATCCCAAGGTGGAGGTTTCAATATTGTGCATTACATCCTTTTCTACTCTGAAATCATATGGTAAATACCTCTGACCCCCAAAAGAAGTAGATCCCTACTAATTCTCCTATTCATTCATTGTAAGGAGAATATAATAAGATGGCAATAGCTAAACAACTTGGTTTACTCTATTTTCAGTTTTACCTCACCTTCCTCTTAGAATTCACCAGAAATCAATAAAGATATGTAAAATGAAATACGAGCTTTTATATCTGTTTTGCAGATTCAATGCCTTTCTTATCTTGGCCCACGCTATTAGTAAAGATTAAATACAATGATATTCAAACTGGGGTACTATATACTCTATGAAGTACACAAAGACTTCAGAGAGTATAACAGCATGCCTATTTTGAGGGATCTGTTTGCCAGTCTCAACTCCCAAATATTATCCCTCACAAAACTGATCTGCTTAAGATATGATTTTACAGAGGCTCATCTTTCCTAATCACCTTTTCCCATTTTACTAAAGCAAAGCGTGGTATATTTGTCAAACAACAATTCTATACTAATTATCTAAAGCTCTACACTATACCTTTCTCAAATTGTTTTGTGTGTGTGTATATATATATATATATAATTATTTTGTGCACTAAGTTTCTTAGAGAAACAAGGCCATTTTTACAGACCTTGTTTGCAATTGTATTTCTAAGCTTGCCTACAGTATTTTTTACAAAGAATAAAATACTAGTAAATTTAAGTCACAGTGCTGCTAATGCTGCAAAATTTAGATTTAGTAAACACTGAATTTTATCAATAAAAAAGTTACTGGAATGAGTATTCCAGTATATACCTAAAAAACAAGTTCTCAATGAAAATATTGGAGGTAGGGATCATCAAACTCATTTTGGAGGAAATAAGGCTAAATATTTTAGACTTTCAAGATGATATAGTCTTAGTGTCGCAGCAAAAAAGTAGCCATCGACAACAGTGTATATTAATGATTATGGCTGGGTTTCAAAAAAACTTCATGTACAAAAATAAGCCAATGGATCACAACTGTCCCATAAGACTTAGTTATCTGGCCCATTTTAAGTAACTATAAAAAAAAGGAAAAAAAATGAGGGTATTACCAGATTTCCTTTGTCGCCGGCTCAACAGGTCTGTAACTGCTTTTCGGAACTTTTTTGCTTCTTCTTCATTGGCAAAATTAAGAGCAACTTGACAAGTCTGAAACATTTCCATTAGAGAGAGCAAACAACAAAATGCAGGAACTTAGCTTTATCTAACAAAAATGATGAACAAAAGTAACTTATGACATTAGATAAATGACAAACTGAGCACTTCTTTCAAAAAAATAAAATAGTAAATTGAATTAGATCTAACAATAGGGCTGTAAATAATTTAAATGAGAAAAGGCAATCAAATTTCAACATGGCAATAAAGAAAATGTGACTTACATCTCCAGCAAAAGTATGAAAATATCCTCTAGGACTATTATATACAAAGTTATTGTATAGTTCTTGTTCCCACAAAAGTTTCCCATCCTAGAAAAAAGGAAAAATTCAAATAAGAGATACAAAAACAAAATAAAACAAAATATCTCTATGAATGAAACAAAGCATGTTAATATTCTTATGTGTATTAACTTTATACACATTGTGACATGTATTTGTAATATGTAGCTAATATCACATTATTTAATAATAATCTCTTATTGACAAACCAAATACCAAATAACATTTTTTTTCATAAAACCTACATATCAAATGAGTTTATTTCACGAAACTAATATATGGGCTAAGCCTTTCTGAATATACTTGGTCAAATATTTAAGTAGAATAATTACTAGATCATCAATGTCACATTGACAAAACAGGATAATTCAAGGTATTTAGTGATATTTAGATTGTGTATCATCAAATATTATAGGAATAATTCATACTATTTTTCTCAAATTTACAGATGTGGAAGGGTCAAATATACCTTTTCTGTACTGCTAATAATTTTCAAATTCTTAACTTTTGTAGAATAGCCTCTTAGTTAAATAATGGTGTAAGTAATAGCAATCAGCTGCGGTAAGACACTGATGATTAAAACACACCAAGATTATATTGTAGATAAGAGAGCCATAGCTTATTCCTGTATCTAAAGCCACAGTATAAGAAATATATTTAAGAGCCAGGGATGTAGCTCAGCAGTTCGGTGGCCTGCCTTGCAAGCGCAAGGATTGGAGTTCAACCCCTGGTACCAAAAAAAAAAAAAAAAAAAAATTAACCTTCATAGGAAAGGCAGCTGAGTGTAAAACATTCTCTAGTGATTATCTTCAAATGGAAATATGTGGTTAGAGAAACTAATAATTTCTCTATTTGCAATACAAGGTTCTATCTATATCACAATTTTAAGATATGAAAAATATATTGTAGACATATTATGATCACTATAATAGAATTCCCTCAGTCCCACTGAAGTTGCATTCTACTCTGTTTCTAAACAGAGCTTCTCATTAGTGATGAGAAATACATCAAAGCACCTAGGATAGTGATGGCGAGCCTTTGCAAGCTTTAATTGGTACAAGTAGCCCACTGTGGCACCTTTGCCACCAATGACTTTGGGGTTTGTTTCAAATTATGGACATGCTCCCATTTCCCAGAATCACTGACAAAGTAAGCCATTGCTATTAATGGGAGCATGCTGCTTCTCTCATCTGAACTAGGGTATGTGGAAATAGATGTTAACAAGCACCAATTTACAAAGTACAGTAACGTAAATCTCAGTTAAATGAGGAACTAGAAAAAGCAGAGACATAAAAAGTCTATGATCAAGCTGATCTTTTTTGGGGGGGTTCTAGGGATCGAACTAGACCTTGCACTTAAGAGTCAGGCGGCAGAACCACTGAGCTAAATCCCTGGCCCTAACTGGTCTTATTAATGCCCAAATGATTGCCAGTTTTAATTTTCTATAATTAAAATCCTATTCTACTTTTGCCACACGTAAATGTTAAATTAACTATGGAGGCTTATCCAAAGATATAATGGAAACTTCACTTTAGCAAAATGAGAAAAATACTTTTATGGTAACTATGTAAGAGATAAATACCTGACAAATAGTATCCAATCTATGACAATGTGGATTTATAATTAAAACCGAGGAATATAAAGCTATAAAAACCTCAATATCCCTATGATGAGAAAAAAACAATGGGTATAAAATAAATTTTATAGATATTATATAATGACATAAACTTGGCCAAAGTAACAGCGTATACAAAAGTTAAACAATCATTCATTGTTCCTTGAAATAACTATGTACATTATGCTAGTCTATAATGGACAAGATGTAATGGAAGAGTACCACTGGAAAAAGGAAGAATGTAAGGAAAGCCCAAGGTCAAAAGGAATACTTCTTTTAAAAAATTAATTCATGGTGGCAGTGAAGAGATATAAAAGTGGGAACCTACAGTTGTTTTCTATTATCCACAGGACACATTCCAATATATTACATTGATGCCTGAAACCCTGGGTAGTATTTAAGACCCAAGACACTATTTTTCCTGTACATACACATTTAAGGTTAATTTATGAAGTAGGCAAAATAAGAGATTAACAACAATAATAAATAAATTTTATGAGTTATTTTAGTAATTTTCCATTTAATGCTTGGGACTATAGCCAATGGTAGGTAACTGAAACCACTAAAAGCAATACCACAGATTTGAAACTACTGTACTCATTTTTGGCTTTAGGATATGTTGCCAATATCCATATTTCAGTACTTAAAATCAAGCTTTACCTTTCTTATATATACAGATATATCTATCTATTTATCTATTTATCTATCGATAGATTTTTTTTTTTTTTTTTTTTTTTTTTTTTTTTGGTACCGGGGATTAAACTCGGGTCCTTGCGCTTGCAAGGCAGGCCACCGAACCGCTGAGTTAAATCCCCGACCTCTGATATTATTTTAAGTGCAATTTAAATATTAAACATAGGATAAATAAATCTATATTAAATTATAATTGGGGCAGAAACTCACCTACAGTTTAAAGTAAAAGACAAAACTCACCTTAATGTCAAATATTCTTAAAAAATAAGATCTCTGTGGATTGTCCTTAACAAGACAAGCAACACCACTGCACTTCTTTGACCACATACAGTTCCGATCTGCTGCATACAACTGTACCACTGCGGAAGACATAGTCTGCAAAGCATAAAATTGATAGGCATTAGTTTCAAAATAAAATCAGATGGCAACAGCCCCTGCTGATATTTTAACTGCAACTTTATGAGACATACCAAACCAGGAGAGTCCAGCTAAGCTGAATTACTAGCTCCCAGAAACAATGAAATAACATACATTTACTTATTTTAAGGCACTGCTTTCCAAAATAGTAAATAATAATCAAATGAAAATAATTATTGAAAACTAACATTTATTGACAAATGTGTCAGGAAATGTGCTGAGCATTTGCAAATATAACTCCATTTAACTGTTATTGTTATTACAATCTCATCTTGCACTAGAGAAACTCAATACTTAGAAAGGGTTAGTAATTTTCCCAATATCATAGTAAATGATAAGAGATGAAATTCTAGTCTAGGCAATGTATGACTTCAGATCCTATACTCTTACTTTTTATGTTACACTGTATTAATAAAACGAACATCTGTTAGGGTTTAGTTCTGAGAGACTAAAGAAAGATTCATATTCAGAGGTGGAACTTTCAGAAGATACCTGTACTATAGGGTGCTATCATTATCAATGGATTAATTTATTGATGAGTTCCTTATGGAAAGTGCTGTTTGGAAGTGGGGCCTAGTGGGAGAAGGTGGGGATGGGCCTTTGAAAAGTATATTTCTTGTTGGGGCTCTTACCCATCTCTGCTTCCTGCTGCCATGAATGAGCAGACTTGTTCCACTAGTTCCTTCCTTCCATGATGCTCCTGACTTACAAACCATGTACTGAAACCTTTGAAACACTGAACAAAATAACCATTTCCTCCTTTAAATTGGGTGCGCTAGGTACTTTGGTCTCAGCAATGAGAAAACTGATCAATACAATATTTAAGGAATGAATTAAACACTATATTACAGGAACCAACTCAAACTGGAAAGTAAGATTTGTAGTTGCTAATTATTGGTGCTAAATATTTCTAATGTATTATTTTTCAAAAGACAGATTAAAATATTTTTTAAAGAATGGTAAAACTGAGGGGGGATATTTTAGGTGATTTGCACAAATACATGGTTTAGAAGCTATACTGAAAATATAAAAAATAGTTTGAGTGATTATTATCTTGACTTCTCTATAAATAGTACCTAATTAGAATCCTTTCAAATGCACAGGAGACAGACTAACTCATTACATGCAATGGAAATCTTTGGCACAAGAGTTTTCTAGGTTATCTTACTGCTACCTAAAACAACTATAATCAAACAATGGAGACTCCTATTTTATTCTAAATTGTTTTTCTTTTGATATAATCTAGAATGTAACTAACCTGTTTCTGTAAAAACTGGTACACACATTTACTGACACGGCTCTTACAAAGCCTCTGCAAACAAATTACTTTTTCTGGGCCAAAATTTCTAAACTAAAAATTAAAAAAAATAATTTAGATAAGTTAAAAAGTGACTTTTAAATAAAAATATAAAAAGAAAATATTACGAATATATACTAATATTAGTATATATTACTAATATATACTAATCATTAGTATTTTTAAAAATAGGAAAAATTTAAATAATCAAAACCTGAAGCTGATAGAATTATGGTACCTCAGTTCAATAAAACTTGGGCATTGCGGTAAACTACATTAGAATTTGGAGATAAAATTTTGAGTTTACTTAACTATATGTGGGGACTGCTTCTTTTGATAAGAGGATTCCTTTGAATAATATACATAAGTCTTGTTTTACACTAACATCAGAAATCTAAGATTAGCAAACTGTTATGGATCAAAAAACTCATATAGACTTTCCCAGATAACAAAGTATAATGTTGTGTTTTTAATTTTTACAAACCATGTGGACCTTGGAATTTTAAACCCAATCACGAGGACACAAGCAGAAGGAAAATTCACACAGAGCTATTAAAACTTATGCAGATAGAGGGCTTGGAATGTAGCTCAGTGGCAAAGCATCTGCCTGGCATGCAATAGTATCTAAGTTCCATTCCTGGTACCAAAAAAAAAAAAAAAAAAT